TCCTTTATTTCAACCTTGGTGAATTTGATGATTATGTGTCTTGGGGTTGCTCTTCCCAAGGAGTATCTTTGTGGTGTTTTCTATATTTCCTGAATTGGAATGTTAGCCTGTCTTGGTAGGTTGGGGAAGTTCTCCTGAATAATATCCTGAAGAGTGTTTTCCAGCTTGGTACCTTTCTCTCCATCACTCTCAGGTATACCAATCAAATGTAGATTCGGTCTTTCCACATAGTCCCGTATATCGTGCAGGCTTTGTTTGCCCCTTTCCATTCTTTTTTTCTCTAATCTTGTCTTCATGCTTTATTTTATTAAGTGATCTTCAGTCTCTGATATCCTTTCTTCCACTTCGTTGATTTGGCTATTGATACTTGTGTCTGCTTCACAAAGTTCTCGTGCTGTGTTTTTCAGCTCCTTCAAGTCATTTATGTTCTCTAAACTGGGTATTCTACTTAGTAATTCCTCTGACTTTCTCTCAAGGTTCTTAGCTTCCTTGCATTGGGTTAGAAAATGTTTCTTTAGCTTGGAGGAGTTTTTTACCCACCTTCTGAAGCCTACTTACGTCAATTTGTCAAACTCATTCTTTGTCCAGTTTTGCTCCCTTGCTGGAAAGGGGTTATGATCCTGTGGAGGAGAAGAGGCATTCTGTTTTTTTTTAAATGTTCAGCCTTTTTGTGCTGGTTTTTCCTCATCTTCATGGATTATCTACCTTTAGTCTTTGATGTTGGTCACCTTCAGATGGGGTTTCTGTGTAGAAGTCCTTTTAGTTGATGTTGATGCTGTTCCTTTCTGTTTGTTAGTTTTCCTTCTAACAGTCAGCCCCCTGTGCTGCAGGTCTGCTGGAGTTTGCTGGAGATCCACACCAGACCCTGTTTGCCTGAGTATCACCAGCAGAGGCTACATAACAGCAAAGATTGCTGCCTGTTCCTTCCTCTGAAAGCTTTGTCCCAGAGGGGCACCTGCCAGATACCAGCTGGAGCTCTCCTGTATGAGATGTCTGTAGACCCCCGCTGGGAGGTTTCTGCCAGTCAGGAGTCCGGGGGGTCAAGGACCTAATTCAGGAGGCAGTCTGTCCCTTAGCAGAACTTGAGTGCTGTTCTTGGAGATCTGCTGCTCTCTTCAGAGCCAGTAGGCAGAAACATTTAAGTCTGCTGAAACTTCACCCACAGCCACTTCTTTCCCCAGGTGCTCTGCCCCAGGGAGATCAGAATTTGATCTATACGCCCCTGGGGCTGCTGCCTTTCTTTCAGAGATTCCCTGCCCAGAGAGGAGGAATCTAGAGAGGCAGTCTGGCTCCAGCGGCTTTGCCAAGCTGCAGTGGGTTTTGCTCAATTCAAACTTCCAGGCACCTTTGTTTCTACTGTGAGGGGAAAATCCCCTACTCAAGCCTCAATAATGGTGGATGCCCCTCCACCCACCCACCTTGAGCATTCCAGGTCAACTTCAGACTAGCGTGCTGGCAGCAAGAATTTCAAGCCAGTGGATCTTAGCTTGCTGGGCTCCGTGAGGGTGGGATCCTCTGAGCTAGACCTCTTGGCTCCCTGGCTAATGGTTCTGTCTCTCTGGCATTCCAGGCACCACTGGGGTATGCAAAAAAAAAACAAAAACAAACAAAACAAAAAACTCCAGCAGCTGTCTGCCCAAACAGCTGCCCAATTTTGTGCTTGAAACTCAGCGCCCTGGTGGTATAGGACTTGAGGGAGTCTCCTGGTCTACGGGTTGCAAAGACCACAGGAAAAGCATCGTATCTGGGCCAGAATGCACCCTTCCTCACGGCACAGTCCCTCACGGCTTCCCTTGGCTAGGGGAGGGAGTTCCCCAACCCCTTGCATTTCCCAGGTGAGGCAACGCCCCACCCTGCTTCAGCTCATCCTCCGTGGGCTGCACCCACTGTCCAACCAGTTCCAGTGAAATAAGCTAGGCACCTCAGTTGGAAATGCAGAATTCACCCACTTCTGTGTTCATCTCGCTGACAGCTGCAGACCAGAGCTGTTCCTATTTTGCCATCTTGCCCGCAACTCCTCCTTTTCTGTGAATTTCTATTCATACTGTTTGGACATTTTTGCATTGGGTTTATCTATATTGATATGTTCTTTATCTCATGTATTGCAAATATTTTCTCTAGTGTGTAACTTCCTGTACCTTTTTGGATGGAGTTTGATATTTAGAGTTTGTATTTTTATACGGTCAAATTTGCTAATATTTTTATTTGTAATGCTGTAATATGAAAGGTCTTTTCCATTATAAAAACATTATGTATTTTCATTTTTATAATTCTGATTTTATGTTTTGATATTCAACAAGTGTTAGGAATCTAATTTTATTTTTTCCAGTTAAAGTTGATGTTGTCTTCAAACGATTCTTTTATTAAGCAAACCTCTCCCACTGATCTGAAATGCTACTTTTATTATGTATTTATTCCTCACATTAACCAGATTGTTATCTAGGCTATTCTGCTCCACTAATCTATTTGTTCTAGCTCTGTATTTTTTTATCACCATATCCTTAATTATCTACCTACTAAATAATTTATTTTCATGTTTCTTGGCAGCCTTCTCTGCTGGAATTGTAAGCTACACAAGAGAAGGAAATTTCTGTTTTTTCACGAATGTATTCCTCCCAGGTACCTAAAACAGTACAGCCCCATAGTAGGCATTCAGTAAACTTGTTGAATAGATGTTTGCAAAACTTGTCTTCCCAACCAGGAATGTTGTATCTCTTCATTATTTTTATTTTCTCTAATTGATCTATTCTAATCTTTTATTCCTTCTTGAGTCAATTTTAGAAGTTTGTATCTTTCTAGGAAATCATTCATTTTTATCTAGATTTTCCAATTTATTGGTAAAAGTATCCTATTTTAACTTCTACATTTCTTATATACCTGTAAGTATATCCTCTTCCTTATTTACAGTATTGTTTGTGCCCACCCCCTTTTAGTTAGGCTTGCAAGAAATTTTCTATTTTCTTAGGTTTTTGTTTTGGTTTTCTTTTCCTTTTAAAAAGAATTCTTAATTTTATCTTTCTTTTTTATTTAATTCCTTGATTTCTACTTTTGTCATTATTGATTCTTCACTTCTTTCTTTTTGTAATTAGTCCTCTCTTGCCTGCTTACCAAATTAAATAGTTCATTTATTTTTAGTCTTTCTTGTTTTCTCAGCATTTAAAACTACACACAAGCAAAAGGCTATGAATGAAGAAAACTTCATGTGGCTTTAGCTGCATCCCGTGAGATTTTCCATATAATGTTCTTATTGTCATTATCTTTTAAATCATTCTTAATTCTCATTTTAACTTCGTATTTCATGCAAGGATCATGTATAATGTTTGTCGTCAGCAGTGTGATCAGAAAAGAGAAGGTACTATGAAAGCAAATATTGGGAACACCAGTCCAGATGTATGGGCTCAGAAAACTACACTGGAGGAAACGACTTCTCAACTGAAAACTAGGGAGACAGTATAGATATCAGAAAAATGATTTCACTGCTTAGGATGGGGGATTAAGGTAGCATTCCAAGCTGAGAATACAGCATGTGCAAAGATGCAGAGGTAGGAAAGAACATGGTAAGTTTGGGGGACTGAAAGGAGGTCAGTCTGACTAGATAACACATGTAAGGCAAAAAATGGCAGGAGACAGACCTGGCTAAAGGACAGATAGACCATATCATGAAGCAATCTGGACATTATATATAATCCAAAAACAACATATTGTTTCATGAGCTTTTAAATGTTATGTATCATTATACTGTATGCATCCTGCAATTACTTTTTCATTCAGTATAAAAATATATGTTATTGTATCACCCATTCACATTGCTCCCCTTCCATCTCATGATCTACTGCACTTATTTCCGATTAAGTAAGTTTAAGTAGAATATAATTTATGGTAATTTGTAAAACTGTTACTGATTTATTCTGATTCCAAATGTAAGATGCATAAACACAACACAACCTGAACCTCCCTGGCGCTGTGAATTCCCCTTCCTCTTTCCAGCCAGTCCTCTCCAAGTGTGGTCTTTTGACAGTTAAAGAAAGTTTATTCCTAAAGGCTGTACCCAGAGAATGTCATATCTTGAAAGAAAGCTATGAAATCGGCTAGTCCAACTGGTCATTTTACAGACATAGCAACAGAACTAAAGAGTTTAAGAGTTACCCTCTATGACCCACTGTGACTTAGGCAGAATATTATGTGGAGAAAGTTGATTACTTTGAGTGAACCTGCAGAAGTAGGCTATGTTTTATACCACTCTCACCTCTGCTGACCTCCATGTCTTCATCCCAGCTATATTAGCCTGCTAGGGATGTCATAACAAAATCCCACAGACTGGGCAGCTCAAACAACAGAAATTTAGATTTTTATCTTATTTCTAGAGGCTAGGAGTCCAAGATCAAGGTACTGTCAAGATTGGTTTCTGAAGAGGCCTCTATTCCTGGCTTGGAGACACTTGCCTTGGAGACACTTGCTGTGTCCTCCAGTGGCCTTTCCTCTCTGTGTGCCCAGAGGGATCCCCAGCATCTCTTCCTCTTCTTATAACGGCACCAGTTCTACTGGACTGGGACCCCCTGCTTCTTAGCCCATGTTACCTTAATTACCTCCTGAAAGGCCCTATCTCCAAACACAGTCTCACTGGAGGTTAAGGCTTCAACACAAGAATTTGAGGGGGACACAATTCAATCGACAACACAATGCAGAATTCCTAATAACACTATTCCTGCCATGCTTATCCTCATTATTACTTAATACATGAATTCCAGCTCCGTTTTATGCTAAGTGATGTTATATAAAAAGTGATGTATTCAAGAAGAAAACTGAATACTCTGCAATGAAGTGGGAGGGAAGCTCCCCAATATAGTGTAAAGTTATGGGTTCAGACCTGCACATTCTAACTTTCTCAAAGTATATAAATAGTCATTATAAAACAAATTATTTTGGTTGAAAGTACACTTAACTAAAACAGCATGATTTATGGTTACTTAGACTAACATAAACTTTTCTCTTTTTTCCAGATTATTATGGAAATGTTTTGGTAAAAATGGAAAATAATGTAATGTTTTATTCCAAGATTAATATTGGAGATGCAGTCAGGCTGCACTTATGGATAAGCAACACAACAAAAGCAATCATCTTCTTAAATACATCTGGTCTCATGTACTTCTTGTATGTTTTTGATGATGACTTAATACAAACAGAGGACTATCCCTTAAATCTGGAAGCAAAAAGTATAACTCTCAGGACAAAAGACAGTTGCCCATACATGGCATTTCACAATAATATTGCTTATGTTTTTTACTTTTTGGACAAGGGAGAGGCTCTGACAGTTTGGGCTCAAATAGTCTATCCAGAAAATAATGGCCTGTATGTTATTATGGAATCCTATGGCCCAAAAATATTAGAAGTGAGACATAATATTTCCTTTGAAGTTGCCTTTGGATACTGCACCAAAACTCTGGTAAGTTAATACTTTTAATTTCTTTATTTGGTTTTAATAAGTATAAAAGTATAATATTAACATTTTTATAAATGGATTTCCCTTCTAGGCTCAGCTGGGAAAATGTCCAGGAATGGCTGAGTTTTTAATAACATGATAAGCCACTAATTCACAAGCCATTATTTTTGCTTTCAATATCCAAGCCCTTTTTGCCACCTAGTAACTAGTAACACATTCCTTCAAAACTCATTGATTGTCGATTGTATTGTTCACTTTTTTTAATGCATGGCTTTCCTGTGGACTTCTGTTATCTATTGCAGTATAAGAAACCACCTCAAAGCAAATTGCTTTAAACAACACCAATTCTATGAGTCAATTCAGGTTTGGGCTCTGAGTAGCCAGGCAGTTCTGTGTGGTTTTACCTGGGTTCATTGATGTGATCTGGGCATCCAGTAATTCATCTGCAACTAGATGACCTAAGACAGCCTCTTTAATCTAAGGGGCCTCAGCTGGAACACTTGGCTGTGCCGGACAAGCCAGGTTTAGTGTTATCCTCCAGACTAGACCTGGCTGCTTCCATGGCAGTCTCAGGGCAGCGTTCCAAGACAGGCAGAGCAGAACCTAGGCTAGGCCACATGTCCCTAACTCATAGGATGGGGACATAAACTCTGCCTCTTATGGAGAAATAGCAAGTTACACTGTAAAGAGACATACATGTGGGAATGGGAAGAATTATTGCAGCCATCTTTACAAACTATGTCATAATAGGTATAAATATGCTGTGTATATTATGTTGTGTAGTGTATTTCCAATTAATATCGTAATGTGAGCATTTCACAAATTACTTTAATTGCTTCTTGAAAACCGTGTAACCCAAGCGGTAGTGTCTGTTCCCACCTTCCCCTTCTCGGCTCAGCTTCCTTAAGCACGTATCATAGTGAGTCTGCTGTCTGATACCATTGAATGGAAGTGGTCAGTCAATTCCAAAGTCAGTGAAAGCAGAGAATCATAAAAAGTGAAACCAATCTATATGAAACATTTTACTTTAATTTAAATATATGTGAAACATGTTAGTTTCATTTAAATGAACATTCATTTATTAGACAATCTTTTCATATAGGACCAAAGCCTTTTCTTTAAAATAGGTCCACTTATTATACCTCCTCATCTCCTTTTTTGTATAACCTTGCTCATAATGCATCATCTTTGAGTTTCTATTTCAGTTTCTTTCAGATAAAGGAAAAAAATACTTAAAGGCACTGGCAAAGCAACTGAAGCTCTAGAATTTTATATTTTTCAGGTTTTTTAGCATTACTTTGCTCTTATTTTCTAATTCAGCAATCTCCTCAGTTACGTGCTTTATCAAAACTTTTCAAAAAAATCAACTTAGTTCTCAAACAGTAACTCTACTTTCATTTGATACTTACTTTATCAATCTATAATATTACATATAATTACTTAATTAAAATAATAATAAAATCTGGCATAAACAGATTTGGAAACAACACGAATTTAGATTTATATGGAGTCTCATGGATAGACCTTAAAACACAGAGTTGAATGAAAACTGTAAGAAACTATTTGAAATCTATCTTAGTCCACTTGGGCTACATAACAAAAATAGCTCAAACCAGGTGACTTACAACAACAGAAATTTACTTTCTCACAGTTCTGGAGGCTGGGAAGTCCAAGATTAAGGTACCAGCAGGCTCAGTCTCTGGTGAGGGCCCATCCTCATAGACAGTGTCTTTTCACCATGTCCTCACATGGCAGAAGAGACAAGGCCACTTGCTTAGTGCACTTATAAAAGAGGCCTCCTTTGGCCGGGCGTGGTGGCTCAAGCCTGTAATCCCAGCATTTTGGGAGGCCGAGGCGGGCGGATCACAAGGTCAAGAGATCGAGACTATCCTGGCCAACATGGTGAAACCCCGTCTCTACTAAAAATGCAAAAATTAGCTGGGTGTGGTAGCACGTGCCTGTAGTCCTAGCTACTCGGGAGGCTGAGGCAGAATTGCTTGAACCCAGGAGGCGGAGGTTGCAATGAGCTGAGATTGTGCCACTGCACTTCAGCCTAGCGCCTGGTGACAGAGTGAGACTGTCTCAAAAAAAAAAAAAAAAAGAGGCCTCTTTTATCTTATTCAGGAGGTTCTGCCCTCATGACCTAATATCGTTGATGATTGGGTTTTAACATACAAATTTTGGAGGAACACAAAATTCAGACCATAGCACTATCAATGTCATATTTATGAATATCACAAATACATACACATAAATAACAAAAAGGCATTATACATATTTCAAGGATACAAAGATACCAAAGGTATATTTTCAAGGATACAAACATAGCTGTTTGATATATGATATTGCTGTCTGCTATGGGGGAAGATGATACAGGGGAAAAGTAAAATATGATAAATAAAATAAGGTTGGATTGATAATGTACCAAAACAAAAGGATAGATTTAACTGATGGTTTTCTTTCCAAGAATCTGATGTGTAGTATACAGTTGATTCTTGAACAATGAGGGAATTGGGTCACCAACCCCTGCCCAGTCGAAAATCTGGTATAACTTTTATTGGTTGGTTGGTTGGTTGTTTGAGACGAAGTTTCGCTCTTGTCACCCAGGTGGGAGTGCAGTGATGTGATCTCAGTTCACTGCAACCTCCACCTCCCCGATTCAACTGATCTTCCTTCCTCAGCCGCCCGAGTAGCTGGGATTACAGCCACACACCACCATGCCCAGCTAATACTTGTATTTCTGGTAGAGAGAGGGTTTCACCATGTTGGCCAGCTGGTCTCAAATTCCTCACCTCAGGTGATCTGCCCCCCTTGGCCTCCCAAAGTGCTGGGATTACAGGTGTAAGTCATCACGCTTGGCCGTGGTTTAACTTATGACTCCCCAAAAGCTTACCTACTAACAGCCTACTGTTGACTGGAAGCCTAACAGAAACAGCCTATTACACATATTTTCTATGTATTATATGCTATATTCTTATAATAAAGTAAGCTAGAGAAAATAAATGCAATTAAGAAAATCATAAGGAAGAGAAAATATATTTATAATACTGTACTGTATTTATCAGTACTGTAAATTTACATCATCTGTTTACAAGATAAATGACCTGAAATTATGGGCAACCTAGCTGCAGACCTCAGTCTACAGATATCGATATATAGTGCTCTCTCTCTCTCTCTCTGTCTCTCTCTATATATAAAATATACATATATACATCTATCTATATGTGTATATATACATACACATACATATATGTATATACATACATACATATTTAAAAAACGCATATACATATATAATCTGTATATATATATACACACATATATTCAATTCAATAAATTCTTGATTGATATGTAACTGTATATACATATACACATATATATGTGTGTGTGTATATATATATATACACACACAGTTACATATCAATCAATTCAACAATTTCTTTTTTGTTTGTTTTTTGATTTTCTCTCTCATACAACATTTTCTTGTAATGTCATGACTTTTCTCTGCTTGGAAGCACCTTCCACGGCATCACTAGTGGCACTTTGTATGGATCCATGGTGTTACTCCGGGTTTACAGTATTGCAGTAAACATGGTTTAAAAATACATAAGAGCCACAAGAGATCAGTTTTTGCTGTGATATGCAATTTACTGGAAGGACAAACTGCCCACAGGATGTCTAGCATCACACAGCATTTTAAGCAGATACAACACTTGAGCTCACAGCAGTAGCAATCAGAGGTGGCTATGAAATGATCACGTAATACAGCGTGGACTGCCGTTAATTTCATGCAGTTGTGGTTTATTACTGCAAGTTTTGATAAATTTAACTTTATAATAGATCTGTATGTATTTTCTATAGCAAATGATAAAATAGCAAATGATAGACTAGTATCCACATATATTTTATGCACTCATGAAACACCTAACATTTCTTAATTTTTTTCAATATTCTAGGCTACATGGTTCAACTGTAAATTTTCTTCAAATTGCCACAAATCTCCCCCAAATTTTCCAGTATGCTAAGTTTTAAAACTCCATGTATAAGTGTACTTGCACAGTTCAAACTTGTGTTGTTCAAGAGTCAACTGTATATTTGTGTGTTTGCAACTCAGACCCTCAAAATACTAGTTATTTGTAAAAATATATACAAATGACCAATGGCAATGAAACATTGCATTTTGCAAAAATACAAAATTTGCATTTTTAGTAAAATACTGGCTCTATCATTTACTACCAAATGACACTGTAATTCTCTCATCTGTGAATTGGGATAATAACAGAATGAAAGTACCTACCTCATAAAGTTCTTTTTTTCTGATTTTTTTCCCCTTCTTTCAACTTGACCCTTGAGGTTCTTATGAGTTAGCACACATTAAGGACTTAGCAAAGAACCTGGCACATAGTAGATATTGTATGTATGCATTACTACAAACACTACCACTAATTCCTACTATTACTATCACTACAACCACCATATTTTATCAATTCTAAGGCACTTTTTTTTCCTTTTTTTCTTTTTTGAGACAGGGTCTCACTCTGTCATCCAGGCTGGAGTGCAGTGGCATAACCTCTGTTTACTGCAACCTCCATTTCCCGGGTTCAAGCAATTATCGTGTCTCAGCCTCCCGAGTAATTGGAATTACAGGTGTGTGCCACCACGCCTGACTAATTTTTGTATGTTTTTCTTTAGTAGAGGCAGGGTTTCATCATGTTGGCCAAGCTGGTCTCAAACTCCTGAACTCAAGTGATCTGCTTAATAAGGCACTTTTTTCTTAACGTTTAACATCTCTGAAAACAGGACGAGTGTTACATCCTACAGCAATTTCGATTCAATGAAGTACAATAGTATTATGAAAACACCTTGCTTATATAATGCAGACTGGGTCACTGTAACTTCACAGACTAATTAGTGGCCAGTACATTGCTAGGCATCATAGCTAATCATTCGTTTTTAAAAAGTGAATATAACACCCACATACAAAAGTAAATACCCAACATTTATGCATAATTTAGCAAATTATTATAAACCAAACACTCGTGTAATTACCATTCAAATCAAAAAATATATAACATCAGAAGCACCCAAAGCTTTCCTGTGTTTTCCCTGCGGAGAATTGTCTCCCATTTCCAAGTTAAGCATTAGTCTGACTTTTGTGGTAATGATTTCCTTAGTTTTTGGCCAGGCATGGTGGCTCACACCTGTAATCCCAGCACTTTGGGAGGCCAAGGTGAGCAGATGGCCTGAGATCAGGTGTTCAAGACCAGCCTGGCCAACGTGGTGAAACCCCATCTCTACTAAAAATGCAAGTGGCAGGCACCTGTAATCCCAGCCACTGGGGAGGCTGAGGCAGGAAAATTCACTTGAACCAGGAGGCAAAGGTTGTAGTGAGCCAAGATCACACCATTGCTCTTCACTAAATAATATAGCTAAGCTTTGTCTAGTTTTGAACTTCATATGAATGAAGTAATTGCATATCTATTATATACACACATCCATACATAAATATCTACATATATTGTATTTTTGTCTTTGAATATTATGCTTATCAAAGTCCATGTTGTTTTCTTGCACATGTATGTTTACTGCGGCACTGTTCACAATAGCAAAGACTTGGAACCAACCCAAATGCCCACTAATGATAGACTGGATAAAGAAAATGTGGCACATACACACTATGGAATACTATGCAGCCATGAAAAGGATGAGTTCATGTCCTTTGCAGGAACATGAATAAAGCTGGAAACCATCATTCTCAGCAAACTGGCACAAGAACAGAAAACCAAACACCACATGTTCTTACTCCTAAGTGGGTGTTGAACAATGAGAACACACAGACACAGGGAAGGGAATATCACAAAGGACACAGGGCCTGTTGGGGGGTGGGGGACTAGGGGAGGGATAACAGGAGGTAGGGGGATAAGGGAGGGATAGCATTAGGAGAAATACCTAATGTAGATGATGGGTTGATGGGTGCAGCAAACCACCATGGCACATGTATAGCTATGTAGCAAACCAGCACGTTCTGCACATGTACCCCAGAACTTAAAGTATAATAATTTTTAAAAAAGAAGAAATGAACTAACCTAAGCAACTTTGGAAAACATATGGTAGCTGAATCCTGTGAGATTAAAGGAAAAAACTACTTCTAAGCATTGCTTTCTAATTAACAAATTTGTTTTTCACAGAGGTATGGGTTAACAATTATGAAATTACTTTATATATATCCTAGATTTGATCAAATAATTAAATATATTGTAAATAATAAGAGCCAGAGTTGTCAATGTTACAGAAAAGAGCTACAAATATAAAAAATAAATGAGGCTAGAATGAAAAATAAAAAAAGTCCATGTTGTTTTCTGTAACTGTCATTCATTCATACTACTGATCTATTGTATTCTTCTGTATGAATGTACTACAAGAGATCCTTAGCTATTTTACTGTTGATGAACATTGGTTTGTTTCTGTTTGGGTGCTATTCTGAATAATGTAACAATGAATATTTTAGTATATGCCTCCTGAAAAGCACATATAAATATTTCTATCAGGTGGAATTACTTTTACCTGAGATTCTTGGTGAGGCTGTAAATTAAATTTATATTACAATTTTGCAACATTTTATTATGGAAATGTCAAACATATAGAAAAGTTGAAAGAATTTTACATTTAACACCTCTATACCCACTATGTAGACTCATATTTTAGTATACTTGCATATCTATGCATCTATCTATCCACCATTCAATCTTGTTGATCACTTACAAGTGATCAGCATCATTAAGTACCCGAATGAAGACGTTTTACGGCCTAGATGTGGAAAGCTATATGGTACTACAGTGGGATCACAACGCCCCACCCCCGCAATTTCCCTGCTTTATGTAAATTTTTAAATATTTTTTTCAGTTACTAACGTTTTATCAGAAGATAAATTATGAGGGAACAGATGATTACTTTGGAATGCAGTAAGTATGACTTTTAAAAGAACTTTCTCAATATCAAATATCCTATTCACGTTATTAATTTGTAGGTATTCTTTTATTTAAATGGCCACATAGCCTTTTAAATATTCAAATTTCAAATTCCTTTCAATGGCTGGATAGATGTAAAATTAGTATTTAACTGTAAAAAATGTAAAATACTCTTCACAGTTTAATAAGAAACATGACCTATCTGAAGTTCTCATTCATCCAAATGAAGATGTCAAAAAAAAAAAATGGGCTATTTCTTAACTGAATAATTTTCAAACATGTTTTATCACCAGTTCTCATCTCAAAGTATCTACATACCATCACTAGCAAAAACAGGAACTCTGATATCACAGAAACCCTTTAGCTGTGTGTAGAGCCAGATAAAATGCCATCTTTGATCCTGCAGTAAGGCTACCTGAAGGAAGACAGCGCACATGGAATTCTGTGTTAAGGCATTCCTATGGCTATCATTACAGCCTGGAAGTGTTTTCTTGGAAAAATAGCATATTTTCCCTAGGAAAATCCATTTTTCTTTGGTCTAGTGCTACTCTGAGTTTGACTACCTAGTCTACGCCAAGCACTTTCTAGGTATTTAAAATACATGGTAAACGAGAAAGATGAAGTTCTAATGTCATGGAACTCATTCTCCAGGAGGAACAGCAAATTATCAAATAAGTAATTCCAAATACTGGGAAGTGCTATGAAGAAAAGAAAACAGAAATATATATATCAGTGACAGAGACTGATCAGGAAAAGTAGGGAGAAAATGCTGCTTTAGACTCCGTAGCCAGGAGAGGCTCAATTCATTCCTTTCCCTTTCATCCACCAACTTACCTCTGTATGCTTCTAATGGTGTAGGTTCCTTTGGATATTTTTTGTTTCGTGGATATTTACTAAGATTTACCTTGCTATAAGAATACAAATAAAATTGCCCAGGAGATTTTTTATGTTTGCTTGTCCCCAGTGTGTTTTTTGTTTTTTTGTGGGGTTTTTTTGTTTGTTTTTGACAAAAAGCAACCTTCACAGGTGCAGGTATAAATCAAACTTTCAAATTTTCTTCTACTATTTTTTAGCCCTCACATTTTGCTTGAACACAAAATGATTCATGTGCACTTCATAGTGGAGAAAGGCATTATGTCTGACCTAGCTTTCAATCCCAGTCAGATTATATCACACAGCTGAATGTGGCTCAGAAAACTAATTTGACACTCACTCTTTATTGCTCCAAAGGTGTTATCAATATGAGGGGAAACGTGTAGGGGCCGGAGGAGGAAACCACACAGTAGCTGCTACCTTTAGGCAGGTCAAGATGTCAGCAGCACAGCCCCATTTTCCAGGGACCATGTTAATGAAATAGGAGGGCTGAAATGCTGGCAGGATGCTCATTTCTGTTTCCCATCCCATTAACCCAATGGTGGCCAAAACATGGGATACCATGAGGTGGGAGCCCCTTTACAATTTGCAATATGACCACCACACAGAGCTGCCTTAGCAGAACCAGAGAGCTCTTACCACCAGCACTATCCCCCAGGCCTCGAGAAATTTGTGTGGGAGTTCAATCACATTGTGCACATGGGACTTTGCATATAATCTACAGAAAGACAGTGTCATGCCTATCTCTCACATGATCTAATAACATGCACGGATTGTTTTTCCTAGAAACAACAACACGGGGCTTGTGTTGATTCAAGTTCGACCTAGTGAATATTCAAAAGCATGTTCGGTACCCCAAAAGGTGAGTGACATGGGTTGAAGACCCAAATATTTTACTTCAAGAATGTATAGGTGGTAAACCAAATAATGCATACAATACCTCCATACAATACCACTCTCCTACTAGTTAGCAACTCTGTGTAATTTTCCACTGTAAAGATAGCATCATTTTGGCTGGGCAGGGTGGCTCATGCCTATAATCCCAGCACTTTGGGGGGCCAAGGTGGGCGGATCACCTGAGGTGATTACTTTAATGTCTATGTAGTAATTAACTATTTTAGTTCCATGTAACCTGTATATTATTTTTAAGCAACATATACCTACGCATTGCAAGCAGGGTAAGAGATTTTGCAGCAGTTCATTTTCCTAATAACTGAGATTTAATGAAGCGAATAGTCTTTTTCTTTCTTTCTTTTTTCTTTTTTTTTTTTTTTTTTTTTTTTTTTTGAGACGGAGTTTCGCTCTTGTTACCCAGGCTGGAGTGCAGTGGCGCGATCTCGGCTCACCGCAACCTGCGCCTCCTGGGTTCAGGCAATTCTCCTGCCTCAGCCTCCTGAGTAGCTGGGATTACAGGCACGTGCCACCATGCCCAGCTAATGTTTTGTATTTTTAGTAGAGACGGGGTTTCACCATGTTGACCAGGATGGTCTTGATCTCTTAACCTCTTGATCCACCCGCCTTGGCCTCCCAAAGTGCTGGGATTACAGGCTTGAGCCACCACGCCCGGCCATTGCAAATAGTCTTATCTTTAGATATAAAGCATTCCAGCTACCAGACATAGCTATCTTCTTAGAAACATTCTATGAAATTCTGTTTAATTTTTGTGTGTAATATTCATTCTACCCTGTTCTTACTGTAAAAGTATTGAATCTGTTAGAAGGTAAAAATTGCTACTAACAGTAGGGGTATGTTTGGGGATAGAGGCAATATATACTTACTGCATCAGATTCCAGTGGGATTTTATTTGGTTGAGAATTAGCCTTTTCCATATCAAATGCCCTTCTTGGGCATTTCCAGCCCATGAAACAAAGCATCATGGTGCAGCCTGTCTACATGATGCCACTGTTTGCTTTTGCACCTGCCTTTCTCCACCGTATCCCAAAGTTTACTTACAGAGGAGCATGGGCTGTGTTAACAAAGCTCTGGTATCCACAGGTCATTTGTTTTCAAACAAAAGCATGTATGTGCATTTCTTTTTAAAAGCAATTACGAGTAATGTTTAGAATAAATATCCATAAAATGGGACAGTGGTTTAATATTTAATAATTAGCCTGTGGCCAGTGCTCCTTTGAGTACAGAGTATTGCTGCTTAAAGCAGGAATAGCAACAGTAAGATGCATTTCACGTGATGCTCACTACCCTGAGAAACTACAGATCTACTAACGTGAAAACAGAAAGTCAAATTAGTAGTTGGATGGATTGTAGAAACCTGCTGGCTGAGTCAGAGGTACAAACTGGAAGAAGGGAGTTGACAGTCATGGTTGTAGAGAAGCAGGTAAAATATCAGTTGGGGCCCGGCATGGTGGAATCTGTAATCCCAGCACTCTGGGAGGCTGAGGTGGGTGGATCACATGAGGTCAAGAGTTCGAGACCAGCCTGACCAACATGGTGAAACACTGTCTTTACCAAAAATACAAAATTAGCTGGGCGTGGTGGTGCGTGCCTATAATCCCAGCTACTTGGGAGGCTGAGGCAGGAAAATTGCTTGAACTTGGGAGGCGGAGGTTGCAGTGAGTCGAGATTGCACCGCTGCACTCCAGCCTGGGTGACAGCAAGACTCTGTCCCCACTACCAAAAAGATGAGTGTGGATCAATTATTCCCTAAGATACAAACATAAGAAAGGAGAGACCCAAACTTTGGGCCTCCTGAGCAGTAAAGACAAAAGGAAGCAAAGAGAAAAAAAGTGCTCAGAGAAAGAGGGGGAAAACAGTGCAGAGCAGTGATGTAAGAGAACCCTACGTTTTAAAAGTTACGATTTTAAAATAAAAAATGTCATTGGTTGTAGCTGTCATAATATTTTAGATCATGTGAATTAGAACCGCTGAACTCACTACCTAAGTTACTTCATTTCAGGTGTTCCAAATAGCTGTTGGCTGTGATAATAAAAAATTTATTGCAGTTAAGGGGTAAGTACGTTCCCATTTGACCTGTGTTACTCTTTTAAGTTTTAAAACAAATGTTGAACTAAATGATAATTACCAATGATAAAACCGTAATGATGGACACATCCACAATGAAATCCAAAACTGAATTGATGTTCGTGTCTAGATTCAATTGGTTTAAACTTTTTGCCAAATCAAATACTCTATTTGAATCATACTAAAAATAAAAAGAATTAGCCTCTTTTTCTATTACCAGCATTTTTTTCACCTTTCCTTTTAATAAACCAATTTCTATCCTTTATTGTTGCCTCTCTCAATCCTTCAGTCGACAGCTCATTCCCAGAAAAGCACCTGTTTTCCATCCTTCTCAAACCAGTTGTAATTTCATTTCCGTTAGAGAACTGCTTCCATCCATATCAGAGAAGCCTCAGTTTTCTGCACCATTTTCTATGGGAAATTTCTTAGAACGAGCCTAGCAGAACCACAGTGATTGCTCTAGAGAATCCCAAAGTGTGAATTCTGTCGGTTTTACTATGATTCACAATGAAGTACATTGGACTCTGTGTCTTCCTTTCACCTTAGCTCTCTTTTCTTCTACATGGAAAAAATTAAAGGCAGCATACAGAAATCTGTTTAGCTGAGGCTAAATGTATAGAGAGACAGAAATTTATTGTGATTCCTTTCCTTTTGTTGGAAGTGGAAGGGAGAGTGGGGGAATGTTGACTCTTATCTATTTATGAAATTACTTGCTCTCTTCCAAAACAAATGTCTACTCTTCTGTCATTCTAATATTACCGAGTTGTATTAGTCAGTTGCTGGATTGATAATCAAGTATTTGCATCTCATTCAGCATTTCCTAAATTTGCATTTCCTAACATCTTTGCACCTGTAATTCTTTTCCCAGGAAATGCAAAAAGGCTAGCTGATTTATACAGCCTGTATCTCCTATTTCAGGGAGGATTTACATCTTTGCTCCTTAGATTATGGCCTATGGACCAACACTGGCATCACCTGAGAACTTGTTAGAAATGCAGATTCTCAGGCCTCATCCGACAGCTGCTGCATCAAAATCTGCATTTTAACAAAATTTCCGGGAGATTACGAGGGACATTAACATTTGAGAATAACTGCTCTAAACATATTACCAAAATTAATTCCCAGTACCACTGCACGCAGAATTCCTTCTCAGGCCCCTGATATCTTCCAAAGTGAGATGGAGAGTAGCTTGAAGCAGTCTGTTTCTAGACGGGTCCAAATAGTAATTATCAGGCTTAGTTACTCATCAGAATCACTTGGAGAACATGTTTTAAAAACACAGATTTTCGGACTTTACTCTGGGCCTCTTAATCAATGACCCACTTCTCTAGAACCCTAAAACTCTAGTATCTTTGGCTCAGGTTGCAGCGGGCCTATGGTTTTTAGTCACCAAGGGAGACCTGGAGGAGCTTGGGGTCCAAGACACTTCTGGAGAGCCAGGAGACTTGTCAGTGAAGGAGAGTCGTCAACTCTTGGGGTTCAATTTGGGTTCAGCGTGAGGGATGGTCTAGACTTCCGATATCTATCTAAAAACGGCAGTGACAAGAGTTCTTTCTAAGTTACATTGGAAGCAGCCAGCTAAAATGGTCAGACGAATAATTTACCTAACTAAAACCTTCTGTAATTTCAAAGACCATATAGCCTTCTTCTGTCTGCATGAACCCTAACCAGAAATTATGTTAACCCTTTACATAACTTCTTATCTGCACAGTCTCAAGGAGCAACTAGAAATCTTGGGTTTAAAAGAGTTTATGTCTAATAAAACAGTCCAAACAAATTTGCTTTCATTCTGATAGATTTTGTATGAATTTTTATTTTTATTTGTGTGTGCCTGTGCATGTTTTACCGTAGCTGCTTTTTAAAAATTTTTGTTTATCTCTATTTTTTTAAAAAATCAGATGTAAAATCTGTTCTGTAACACATAGCTGCTTTTTAAAAAGTGTGATGAATTTCACAGAATATAAATTTACCAATTCAATGGAATTAAGTACCTTCAGAATATTGTACAAGTTAGCACCACTATCTAGTTCCACAATATTTTCGTCACCCCAAAAGGAAACTCTGTACCCAATTAGCAGTCATCTCCCATTCTCCCTTTCTCCCAGCCCCTGGCAACCATAATCTGCTGTCTCAAAATCGTAATCTCCATAGATCTGCCTGCTCTGAATATTTCACATAAATGGAATCATACAATGTGTGACCTTTTGTGTCCCACTGCATTTCTTAGGCTGTTTTTGAGATTCAACTGTGTTGTGGCATGTATTCGTCCCTCATTCCCTTTTATGGCTGAGTAATATTCCATTGAACAGATATACCACATTTTGTTTATCTATCCAGCAGTTCAGGGATATTTGGGATGTTTCTACCTTTTGGCTTTTGTGAATAGGGAAGCTATGAATATTTGTGTACCAGTGTTTGTTTGAACAACTGTTTTGAATTACTGTGGGTATGTACCTAGGAGTGGAATTGCTAGGTTGTATGGTAATCCTATGTTTAACTTGTTAAGGAACCTCCAAAGTGTTTTCCAAAGCAGCTACACTGTTTTACATGATCACTAGCAACATATATGGATCCCAGTTTCTCTGCTTCCTTGCCAACCCTTGTTTCTTTCTGTTTTGGAGGGGTTTTGTTTTTTTGTTCCGAATTGACAAATAAAATTGTACGTATTTAGCATGCACAACATGATGTTTTCAAATACATTGTGGAATGACTGAATCTAGCTAATTAACATATGCATTACCTCACATAGTTATTATTTTGGTGGCAAGAAAACACTTTATTCTCTTTGCATTTTTCAAGAATACAATGTATTATGAACTAAAGTCATTATGTTGTACAATTAGGTCTCTTGAACTTACTCTTCCTAACTAATTTAAATTGTCTATCTTTTGAGCAACCTCTCTCCAAGCCCTACATCTTATATAAATTTTTAATAAGCATGTACCAAATGTAAGAGATAAATCAGTAGATTTCAAATTCTGGTATCTCCTGAAACATTTACGAAATGGATGTTTTAAAAACAGAAATATGGCCGGGCGCGGTGGCTCAATCCTGTAATCCCAGCACTTTGGGAGGCCGAGGCGGGTGGATCACGAGGTCAAGAGATGGAGACCATCCTGATCAACATGGTGAAACCCCGTCTCTACTAAAAATACAAAACATTAGCTGGGCATGGTGACACGTGCCTGTAATCCCAGCTACTCAGGAGCCTGAGGCTGGAGAATTGCCTGAACCCAGGAGGCGGAGGTTGCAGTGAGCCGAGATCGCGCCATTGCACTCCAGCCTGGGTAACAAGAGCAAAACTCCGTCTCAAAAAAAAAAAAAAAAAAAAAAACTAAAAACAGAAATACTAAGGCCACACACTAGCCAGAGATTCAGTAGATGATGATTCTATGACACTCTCCAGTTTGAGAACCATTGAGTTAAAGGATTAAATGTTTGTGCAAATATATAAGAAATAATGATATTACAACTTCATTATGTTTTGTTTTTTGTAGATTTAGTAAAAAAGGATGTCACCGCCACGATTTTTCTTACGTGATTGAAAAGTAAGAAATTTTTTAACATAAGCACTGAGTTTTATATTAACATAGTACCAATACTTTACAGTCAGTAGTTACTCAGTGAATTACTATTAGCATCTGTGTGTTTGGCTGGACAGTGGGCAGTCAGTTTTAACACTAAGTAAAATGTGTACATGGTACAATTAACTTCTCTGAAACATATAAGAAAAAGAGTCAGTCTCCCCCTTCAATTTAATTAGATAAACAAAGCAAGCCTCATTTATGTATAGGTAGTCTCAAATCCCATTGTTCCCTCTAATTCAAGGAAGACATACAAGAGTGTCTTTCCCTACATAATTTTTCTCAAATTCTACATGACTGAAGCCAGGCGCAGTGGCTCACACCAGTAACCTCAGCACTTTGGGAGGCTGAGGTGAGTGGATCACCTGAAGTCAAGAGTTCAAGACCAGCCTGGCCAACATGGCAAAACCCCGTTTCTATTAAAAATACAAAAAGTTAGCCAGGTGCGGTGGCTCAAATTCTACATGACTGTAGTTCAGCCAGTTAGAAGTAATATATTTACCCGGAAAGTCCTGACATCAACTAACTGAACTTTTTTCTAGATTTTATATTTAATTTATATTTAATTGTATGCATATTTATTTTTATTAATGTGATGTAGTAAAGCTATAACTAAACACAATTCTACTTTTACCTTTGTAAGACAAAGATCTTCATTTTTTATATGTTAAATATTTATTTAACTGTCAAAATACAGAAGTCCACAGCCTCTGAAATTAAATGCTATTTAATTAAAATAATTGAAAGACTGTTTAACCAGTAGGCTTATTGTTTAAGTGATTTCCTTAATTAAGGCAGGGTGGAGGAATGCCACAACCTAGATGCTCCAGGTTGCAGCGCTTGGTGAAAGCAGTCAGTGAAACACAAGGATGAGAAGAAAATGTTTAATAGTTGGTGAGGATACACCTCTCAGTGTCTAGGTGGCAACTGTGCCTGAAAGGCAAGAATATGAAATAGACTCTGCCACTGTGATGGGAGTTTCCTGAGTCCGTCCCCTGGAGCGTGGTAAAATATATGGAACATGTGGCTGGTAACAGTGATTCAAGTGTGAGAACTGAGAAGACGGAATGTGAGGGAGGTGATTTTGAAGGAATAAGTCCTTGAGTTCATGAACGTGAAGCATTCCGCTGTAGTGAGAAATCTAAATTAGGAAATGTCTGAAGTTTTAAAACACACATCTATCGCTACTGATTCTGAAGTATCTTATTCTTTTATCTGCTAATATTCTGGAAGGAACTGCATTGGAATAGCACAATGGACATGGGCTTTATCATCACCCGTCCTTCTCAGTGGCAAAGGAAAGTCTGTAGCCTTGAGCGAGTCTCACACAATTTCCAATAGTACGACACAAAGAGAGGACAGTAATTCACACCTGAGTTGTTGTAAGAACGTGTTAGTATGTGTGGAAATCCGTGTGGAAATGCCTGAAACATAGTAAGCGCTCAGTATCTCATATTTATCTACTTGACCTTTGTGATACTTCCTTACCTAAACAAAGTCATGAGTTTAGTTTTTAAGTTTGAAAAGGGAAAAGAGAAATAAATAATGATGAATATCTTTTTTACAGGTCATATCTGAGGCAACCACTGTCTAAAAACTTGGTAAGAAACTATAAAATTTTGTCAGTAGACCATATCTATAAAATCACTAAAGTATTTTTCCTTTTCTAGAAAGTTAGGTATAATTGGAAAGAATATGGCTGCCCCCTGAGGCTTGAGTTCACAGAAAAGTTTCACCCTGTGGTTCAATTGTAAGTATATTCTCATCAACATTTTTAACTTATATTGAAACTTTCAAACTAAAAGTGTAAAAACAAGACTAACTGATCATGCATCTAACGATACGCATTTTTGGCTACTCAACATATGTGAGACTTAGTTTTCAGTACTAGTTATACCAAGCTGGGCAGGGATGGTGCCTGCATGTTGAGGGACATTGCAGTTGGCAGCTGAGATTTCAGTGGGGAAGAGAGCTGAGAGCCTGTCTTAAGAAAGCCCTTGCTTTATGCCCCAAGCTCCTACCAGTACCCCTACCTATTTCGTAGGAACTACCCTCTCCAGGTGATAAAACTCCTCTTTCCACAAGCCAGTAGTAAATGAAAGCTTATAAGGAAAGAAGCTAGATTCCTGACAAGTACACTGGGGACATTTCAAAAATATTATTCCTAACTCAGTTCTTATAGACAAAATTCCAGCCAGGCACAGTGGCTCACACCTGTAATCCCAGTGCTTTGGGAGGCAGGATGGCCTGGGCCCAGTAAACGGAGATCAGCATAGGCAGCATAGCAAAACGCTGTCATTACAAAAATTAAAGTAATTAGCCAGGCGTGGTGGTGTGTGCCTGTGGTCCCCGCTACTCGGGAAGCTGAGAGGGGAGGATCACCTGAGCCCAGGAGGTAAAGGAGGCAGTGAGCCAAGACTGTACCCACTGCTCTGTAGCCTGGAAAACAGTGAGAACTTGTCTCAAAAAACAAAAACAAATATTTCATCATAAGTGATACAGTTTGTTACAAAATTTAAAATGTAGAAAAAATATGAGGTAAATGACTCATATTTCTAAATTGTTTGCTATTGTCAATAGGTAATAATGAATATTCATTCGTGTACATGTTTGGACACTAGTCCAGGTATGCTGTTAAGACAGATTGCTGGAAGTCAAATTCCCACATCTAAAGTACCAAAAAAATTTTTTAGTCAAGGCTTTCAGCTTCTGGGGACCTCTTAGCCTGCAGACAGTTTCTGAGATCTCTCAAGGTGGGTAGATATAGAAGTAATGAATCAGGCACTCCAATTTAGTTTTGCTACCAGAACTCTTCCCCACTGGGGTCCCGGAGGCCTCCACCAGCATGGTCTGGCCTCTACCCCTTGCCCATGGCACTTCTGAGACTCTGCTGTGCCCTTTCCATCTCAAATCATACTCCAACAGCCTGCATCAGGGCTCTCCGTGCCATCCGGCTAATCTGCTTGCTTTCTTAGTTTTGATCTTCTTCTAGACATCTAATCATGTCACTGCTTTTCCTGGGCACCCAAAGCACAGCTTTCCCTGCCAGAGGTCTAGTCTATTTGTATTTTTGTTTTGAGTTATATCATGCTTAACCCCCGCAGGGTTAAAAGATCTTAATCTCGGCCGGGCGCGGTGGCTCAAGCCTGTAATCCCAGCACTTTGGGAGGCCGAGGCAGGCGGATCACAAGGTCAAGAGATCGAGACCATCCTGGTCAACATGGTGAAACCCCGTCTCTACTAAAAATAAAAAAAAATATATTAGCTGGGCATAGTGGCGTGTGCCTGTAATCCCAGCTACTCAGGAGGCTGAGGCAGGGGAATTGCCTGAACCCAGGAGGTGGAGGTTGCGGTGAGCCGAGATCGCGCCATTGCACTCCAGCCTGGGTAACAAGAGCGAAACTCTGTCTCAAAAAAAAAAAAAAAAAAAAAAGATCTTAATCTCTGTCGGAGAAGTATACTCTCAGTTCATCATTACTAAACAGCTGCCTTGCACAAAGCACTGTGCTAGGCCCTGGAAACTGAAAGATGAGTGACAGGATTTCTACCCTCAAAAGCAGAAGAGTCTGATAAAGCAGATAAACATATGCACAGATATGCTAAGTGTAATGATAGAATGGAGCAGTGTGGGTGGTTGGTCTTGAAACTCAAAAGATTCCAACCCAGCTATAAAGAGAGTGGGGCTCTGGGAAATGTTCCAGAAGACTTGCACTTGAGCTGAGTCACTGAGTCTTAAAGGATAATATTTCGCTAGAGGCGGAGGAGGGAAGGAGAGAAGTGGAGAGAGTAATGTTGAATTCCGCTGGGTAAGCCTTTTAAGTAAGACAGATAGTTGGAAGAAGAAAATGTATAGTTCAAGCAATGTGATACTGTTGAGGCCTAAAGTCAAGTCCTGAAGTCTCAGGAGAAGCCGGGAACCTAGCTAGGTCGATTCCAGACCACGGGAGGCCTTCTATCAAGTCTTATGGTAGAGGAGCATGATCAAATATTTGCTTTAGCTGGTTCCCTCTGGGAGAGGTGTAGAGGATGAATTTCAGAGAAACAAATCTAAGTAGGGAGACCAGCCGGTCAACTGTATTGGTAGTCCGGTGAGGTGGGAAATCAGCAGGACTTGTTTTCACAACCCTGCAGATCAAAACAAGATGTAGACAAGAAACTGGCCAAAGCTAGCCAGGACTTGGAATTATAATGCATTTGCATAAGACATGCCCAGCAGCACCATGACAGCACAAATGCCATGGCAATGACTCAGGAGTTTTCTTATATGGTTCCAGGAGGTCCCTGCCCCTTTACTAGAAAATTCCTGAATAGCCATCCCCTTATTTAGCATATATTTAGGAGTATAGATTATAGCTAGCCAGCAATCTATGAGTGCCCCTCTACCTGTAGGACAGCCCTGCTCCATTTACAGAGCAGCCATTTTGCTGTACACTTTGCTCTAATAAACTTGCATTCTTTCACTGTCAGCTCACTTTTGAATTATTTCCTGAGCAAAGCCAAGAACCCTCCCAAGCAGAACCCCAAGTTTAGGGTTCCCCTGCATCACTAAGAAGAGAAAACAGATGACTGAAATAACAACAAGGACAGAGAAGAATCCTATATAAGGAAGTCAGTGATTCTATAAACCGGGGCCTCTCGGGGGGTGAGGGCAAAGGGAGGGACAGCATTAGGAGAAATACCTAACGTAGATGACAGGTTGATGGAGGCAACACGTATTCCTATGTGACAACCCTGCATGTTCTGCACATGTATCCCAGAACTTAATTTAAAAAAAAAAAAAAAAATTAGTGATTATAATAGGCAGGGCTGGATAATGGATAGATGTGGGTGGTAAGGGAAAGAGAAGGAGGAAGGTGAATGACTCAGAGGTGACATCAGTTAGAAGGGATCCTCCACAAACTTCCACCACCGTATCTGTCCACCTTCAAGAAAATGTTCCAGGAACTCTGTCTGCCCTCCTCTGACTACAGATGGGCTGTCTGGGTGTCTGTCTCAGGCCTGTCCCTCCATTTGTAAGCTAGGTCCCCACCGGCTTTCCTGATCAAGAACACTACTCCTGAAATTCTCTTCCTCTTTCTCCTGCATCATCAACTTTTCCCTCTCTGCTGACTCATCATACAAATATACAGGCCTTTCTCCCGCCAAAACGTAAAGCCAAACAAATTCAACAAACACAGTCACAAAACAAAGAAACAAACAAACAACCATCTCTTTACCCTACTAGCCCTTCAGCTTCTGTGGTCACCGTCATCAACTCTTCTTCCATCCTCTCCCCAATCGCCCTCAGTCTGGCATTTGTGCTCACCACTCCATTGGCACTGCCAGCCAACATGATCGGTGGCGTCTATTCAGCTAAAACAGTGGCCAGTGCTCAGGTCCCACCTTCCTTGATCTCATTAACAAGAATTGACAGTTAGTCACTTGCTCCTACGTGAAACATGTTCTTCCTCTGGCTTCCAGGATAGCTCATTCTCCCACTTGCCTGCTTCTTTGCTGGTAGCACGCTCCTAATTCTTAGTTCCTCTCTGATTTCTTTTTTCTTTTTCATGATCTGGGATTTTGTTTTTAATTTTCTTGAGTCTTATGATCACCTATAACTCATAGTTTTGTATATGCCTCCTCTACTTTAATCCTTCTAATAAGTTGGCAAAGCACCATTGCCAATCACACATCACAGAGAATAGCTGTTTAAAGACAATCCTAGCTAAAACTTAGTCTGACTTAGTAAAGAGTTTGAAAGCAGTTTAACTTGCAACTATTTCATGTCACAATGACTTTTAAAAGGTGATAGGTGTCATCTATAAATGTGAGAAGTGTTTTTATTTGATATTACACATAAACCATTAAAATGCCTTTTAATAAGTAAAAGGCAGCATTTTAGATACAGGGAATTCTAATTAGATTAGCAGAGTTAAGACGAAAACCATAAACAATGCCATCTTATCTTAAGCCCTTGTCTTTCACTGGCAAGTGAACACAAATTAAAAAACAGGTGAGTCTTGCTCAGTTCTGAGACAGTGCAAGGATTTCTCCAGTATTAAAACATATTCAGGCCGGGCGCGGTGGCTCACGCCTGTAATCCCAGCACTTTGGGAGGCCAAGGCGGGCGGATCACAAGGTCAAGAGATCGAGACCATCCTGGTCAACATGGTGAAACCCCATCTCTACTAAAAATACAAAAAAGTAGCTGGGCATGGTGGCGCGTGCCTGTAATCCCAGCTACTCAGGAGGCTGAGGCAGGAGAATTGCCTGAACCCAGGAGGCGGAGGTTGTGGTGAGCCGAGATCATGCCATTGCACTCCAGCCTGGGTAACAAGAGCGAAACTCTGTCTCAAAAAAAAAAAAAACATATTCATACTAAAATATATTCATGTAACTTTAGTCATACACATCCAACTACAAATCAGTCTCCAATAGGTTTGGGGATGCCATTCTCCTCCTTGTGAAAAATTGAACATCACTCATCAGGTCCAGTGATATCCTTAGAAGGGGAAATAGGTGGAGCATTTACTGAGTCCAAATTACTGTCAAAATTTGCAACACTGATCATGTTCCTTTAACCAGAAGCCAGTCTTACTTATCAGGGCTGTCCAACAAAAATATTCTGCCAGTCACTCATGAGCTGAATTCCGGTGTATGGGATCAGTTACTCTACAGTACACATGAAGTCATGAGATCATTCTGGTCTGTGAGTAAGTCAGGCCGTGGCCAATTCTTTCTGCCTTTTTAGCACCAGTGGAGATCATTTTTGCCCCAGGGGTGTCCTTCTTGGGACTCTCCAACTGCTCCATCCATGTCTCCTCTCCATAGATGACACCTTTGTTCTCACTGGTGTCTGTGGAAGAGGATCCAGACAGCTCATCTGCCTTCCACCCACACAGACCATGGAGACTGGGCCCATCTTATGCTTGCCTCCCTTCTCCACAGTGTGGCACTGGACACACTTCCAAACAAAAATATGTTTGCTTTTTTCAGCATCACCCATATTTAATTACCTCTTTTGTCACTTGCACTACAAAGGCTCCCCCCACTTAGAAGCTTGGCCCCACTCCTCCACCCCTACCCTCTACCCCCCCCTCCCTCCCTGGTCTCTTAGTGTTGGGATGCCCCAAGGCTCAGGGATTTCTTTTCTTTCCTGTATTTTAGCTTTCTCTTTGAATGTCATCATCCAGTCGCATGGGCCTAGATGTCTCAATATATTGATGTGCCCCAACACTGCATCTACAGCCTGACCATCTCCCCTTGTATCCATCAAGTATACTTAGGCTATGCTGCAGTAACAAATAAACCCTAAAATCCCAGTGCCTAGCTCTCCATGTCATAGTCCGATATACAGACCAACATCATCTGGTCCCTCCCACATTTGCCGCCATGTGTGGGAAAAAGACTGGAGGATTGTATGGGATGTTGTAAAGGCTCAGGGCTGGAGGTGGTTCCACCCACATGCCTTATCCAGAACCTATTGCCATGGCTCAAATCTAACTGCAAAGCGGCCTATAAAATGTAAACACATACAGTTCCTGAACCCCAGACTCACACATCCACTGAGATGTTAAATACACATATCATTTTTCCACTTAGATGTTGGATAGATATATCAAACGTAACCTGTCCAAAACTGAACTTTTGATCTTCCCCTCAAAACCTGCTCCACCGATAGCCTTCCCTATTTTAAGTGATAGCAGCTCCATCCTTCTTGTTGATCTGGCCAAAACTTTGGAATCTCCCTGACTCCCCCCTCTCTCTTATACCCTACATTAAATCCATTAGCAAAGCCTATTGGTTCTATCTGTCAACACCTGCCATGACACTTGCCCTGGCCATCATCGCTGACCTGGATCGCTGCTCTCTCTGTTTCCACTCATGCGTCCATATAGCAGCAAGAGTAAAGCACTGAAAACAAAGTCAAGCCACCCTGCTCCTAAACTCAAATCCTCATCACTGAGTAAACGCCGAGCCCTCACAGTGACTTACTGAGGTTCTGTTTGCTTTTCTGCCTCTGCTACATTTCTGCTATTAAACGCCACCTCACTCATTCAAACGCAGTGGAGCAGCTTCCTGATTGTTCCTCAGGGAGGAGTAGTTTGCATGAAACGGTGAGAACAGAAGCCAGACTGCAGGGGGTTTACAAAATAAATTAGAAGTTTACAAGTAGACGCAAAGGTAGTCTACACTTTTTTAACTTTTGGCTGGAAAATAGAAGAAAGAGGCAGGAATTTACCTACAGAGAAAAACACAAATATGATTTTGATTTTCTTAAAGAGGAAAGATACGTGAGCTTGTTTACAGTTTGAAGATAAAGAAAGGAAGGTTAAAAATTAGTCACTTTGATTATAGTAATAGAGCAGACTGAGGTAAGTTGAGTCCCTCCCTACCCACAATAGACATGTCATCCTGGATGAAACATGACAAAAATCTTTTGTACATAACTAAGCTTGAAAGAAAGAAAGCACACTCTCCAGAAGTGAAGAGAGAACTGAAAGTTAGAGCAATGCTCTTCAGCCTGTCTGTGTATCAGCTTACGAGTACTGGCTCAGGATAATGGAACTAGAAATTAGAAGCCAGGTTTTAAAGCTTTGTGAGGCCAAGAGGCTCTTTGATAAATTCAGGATATATTAAGAGCTACCTAATCCAAAAAAAAAAAAAAGAGAGAGAGAGAGACAGAGAGAGAGACTAGAAACTCTGCTTAATGCCCAGGTCAGCCACAAGGAAAGTTGTAACCTACGTGAATTCGTAGGCAAACCTTCCACAGACCCCCCAGGGTCAAGGCCCAGGAAGTTATGGCATCAGAATACAGAAAATTAAAGTACATGGCTAATACAACAGGATAGCCACAAGGATTTGTCTAACAGGTTTGCAGGTCCACAGAGAGGTCTCTTTCCCACTTCCCAAAATGGAGCTGCCATCATGGGAAAGTTACAAATTGCAGGGAAGAGTTGCCAACTAGAAACATTTCTGCATTTCTTAGGCTTCATTAGTATTATACCCGACATTGAAAAAAATTGATGAAAATAAGTCATGCTTACATAGATAAGTATTGTTTCAAATATTTTCAATGGTATAAATAAAACATTATAAAGATCTTTACAAACCCAGAAATTACAGGTCATGTAATTTATACTTATTGCCACTAGATGGCACTGTAGCACATGGCGCTTGCAAAAGATGCCTGCTCAGTTCAATTAAGATTTTTTTTAAATAAAACATACGGCTTGCAACTAGTTCTTCATAATTTAAGAATATGGCCAGGCATGGTCGCTCACACCTGTAATCTCAGTGCTTTGGGAAGCGGAGGCGGGAGGATGGTTTGAGGTCAGAAGTTCAAGATGAGCCTCGGCAACATGGTGAGACTTCCCATCTCTACAAAAAACCGTAAAATGTCCTGGGTGTGGTGGCGCACACCTGTAGTCCTAAAGTTAGGAGGACCCCTTGAGCCCAAGAGTTAGAGGTTATAGTGAGCTATGATTGTGCCACTGCACTCCAGCTTCAGCAACAGGGCAAGACCCCACCTCTAAAATACATATAAATAATAATAATTTGAGAGTCTGATGACTTTTGGAAGATGCAAACACCCTGCTCTTTCCAAAGCTGCTGGAATTAGAGCTTTGCTAAAGCCTGACCCAAATCTCTGAAACTATACAAAAACGCATGTATGCCTACACACGTGTGCATTGGTCTGTAGCGAAAGGGTCCCAGAGCTCTCATTCGAGTTTTACAATTCCCTGTGGCCTCCCTCCCGTCAGAAAAGAAGCCAAACACCCACTCTCCAATCCCTAGCTAGTCACACCTGTTTGAGAACTAACCTTGTGAGTTCATTTCCTTACAATTTCTCAAAACTAAATAGGATGCGCAGAAAATAACCTCTCAGGTACCACTTCCTGACATTTAAAATGTTTGTCCCAGTTTGTGAGAATGGGACAATAAATGCTTTTTTTTTTTTTTTTTTTTTTGAGACGGAGTTTCCCTCTTGTTACCCAGGCTGGAGTGCAATGGCACGGTCTCAGCTCACCGCAACCTCCGCCTCCTGGGTTCAGGCAATTCTCCTGCCTCAGCCTCCTGAGTAGCTGGGATTACAGGCACGCGCCACAATGCCCAGTCAATTTTTTTTTTTTTTTTTTGTATTTTTAGTAGAGACGGGTTTCACCATGTTGACCAGGATGGTCTCGATCTCTTGACCTCGTGATCCACCCGCCTCGGCCTCCCAAAGTGCTGGGATTACAGGCTTGCGCCACCGCGCCCGGCCTATAAATGCTTTTAATAACAAGGGTTGGATGGTAGCACATTGTAGCAGCCCTGCAAGGCCAGATACAACTGCGACAGAAGCAGAGATGTGGGCAGTGACTAGGGGCCGCTGTCGAGGAGCTGCTATTTTCTGTGCACAGAGACAGAGCTGTGAGTGAAGCAAGCTTTATCAGAAGGTGGGGCGACGGGCCCAGAGCCAGCGGCCTCCAAGCAGGTGCCTGACGCTAAGGTCCTAAGTGAAATTCTACCCAATTTCATTCATAAATACGTGAGTAACTGACAGAGAAGGAAAACATGTAACCGTTTTTACAGCCGCAAGTTCTGGTATACAAAGGCACGACTTCATCACTAACTGAACTTTGAGCTCTGATCTCAAGCCTCTGTGTTCCCACGGTCGCAGGAAAAAAATATATTAATATGAAACACCACAGCCCCTTTGAAAACGCAGTTTGAGGTAAAGGAGCCCACTGGGGCTGTGTCTCAGGCTCAGCGTCAAGGCAGGGGCACCCAGTCCATCTCGGACTCCCCTTGCTGGTGCCTGCTGTTGGTAGAAGTCGTCATCCATCCTCTGAGCATGGGCGAGGCATGACTGTAGATCCAGGGAGCTCACAGGCTGCAGCCGCCTCAGCCCTGCCTCAGCTTACCGACGCCTCTGATGCTTCCACACTCAGCCACACCTTCCAGCTGGTTCCTCCTCCCAGGGGCCTCTGCAGCTTCTCCATTGCCATCACAGTCATTCTGTGGTTTCATTCTCTAGTATATCTAGTACACAATAAGCAGCCACTGAATATATGAGCTAGAGGACACCAGGGCATCCTGCTCTGCCCTTGCTCTATCCATCTCATCCTTCTGTCTTTCTCCCCGCTAACACCCATGACAGCAGTGCCTAAGCTACCTTCACCTGATCAACAGATGGCCCCTGTCCAAGGAAGAGAACTCAGAGTTCCAACTGGTCAAAAAGTAAAACATTTCTCCTTCATTACTATCAGGTTTTATTTTGAGAGCTGAATGAAATAACATCTGTGTATTTCATCCAGCTGTCAAAAGACACATATACAGTAGGTACTGTTATTATTTTACAGAAAAAAAAATCGAGACGTCAAGAGTTTTAGCCAGTAGGTAGCATGGCTGAGCGGTCTAAGGCACTGAATTAAGAGTTTAAGTAACTCCCCCAGAGCCACAAAGCTATAAAGTGACAAAGCCAGCACTTAAAGCTAAGCGCATCTGACTCGGAAGCTGGAACTCTTAACCACTCGATTTCATATTAAACTGGTATCTTTCTGTTTGCTGTTTCTTTCAGATTTGATGATAACGGCTATGTTAAAGACGTTGAAGCAAATTTCATAGTGTGGGAAATACACGGCAGAGGTGACTATACCTTTAATAATACAATGGCGCAGGTATGGCATTTTTGGATTTAACCAGAATTTAGCATGCAACTAGACAATGTCTTTCTGTTTTAAATTTATATATAAGCAATCTAAGGAACATAGAAAAAGGCAGCGGTGGGTAGAAAAAAAATCACCTCTAAATTAAATTCTATGGCTACTAAAATCCACTTATGAAAAAAAGAAGATGTTGTCACATAAGACAGACATAAAGGGGTCAGAAAAAATAAAATAACATTTATAGTAGGATGATGCAACTCTGTGAGTCTTCTTTTCTCTCCACACTGTATTCAGGGTTTGATTATTTATGGGTTTACTTTGGCTTTAGGGACATATGTCACTTTTGTACTGAGTCAAACGGACACTCCAGGCTTCATCTCGCTTGACTTGCCTGCATCATTCGACGCCCCCCCACCCCCCGACTTTGGCTTCAGTGTCCCTACACCCTCCTGATTTTATTCCGCCCACCCTGACTGGCTGCTCTTGGCCTCCTTGAATCTCTCTTATTCTATCCTTTCACTCTGTGGGCCACAGAGTGGCCTTACCACTCCCAATCCACACATGTCCCCTCCCTGTGCGGGCCTTTCTGCCCTGAGGACCTCCCGTCATGATGGAGTCTCTCTAGAAGTTCCCAGCACTGATTTCTAATATCCCCCACAGATTTCACTCTCAAAAAAAAAAAAAAATAGGGATGGTTCTTTCCAAAGTAATGTTCTTATATACCAGACACCTTAATTATCCAGAAGTATAACTCACCTAGATGGCAGCCAAGAGAACTGGGTTCCACGTGCCACCCTCAGAGTACTGCAAGAATTCTCTCTCTCTCTCTCTCTCTTAAGTCTTGCTCTGTTGCCCAGGCTGGAGTGCAGTGGTGTGATCTTGGCTCACTGCAACCTCTGCCTCCTGTGTTCAAGTGATTCTCCTGCCTCAGCCTCCCAAGTAGCTGAAATTACAGGCATGCACCACCACACCTGGCTAATTTTTGTATTTTTAGTAGAGACGAGGTTTCACCATGTTGACCAGGCTGGTCTTGAACTCTTGACCTCAAGTGATCCACCCACCTCAGCCTCCCACAGTGCTGGGATTACAGGTGTGAGCCGCGGCACCCAGCAATTGTCTTTCAATTATGTAACCAAATACATCCATCCCACCCCACATTCCACCTGTGCTTGTTCAGCACCCAGTGTGTCAGTTCTCCTGGTCTGCTCCCTCTGCACAGTCTCACGCCTGTACTGTTCTATCCATCTTCCCCCTTGGCCCTGACCCCCGTCACGCTCTTCCTTCACAGACCTTTCCATTATACTTCAAAGTTAAATGCTCTAGATCCTTCTTCAGTAAAAGTGCCTCAGAGGATAATCTCTTCCTTACCGTTCTATCACACCAAGAATACTCTTTCTCTCACCCCATATATTTAAGGGTGAGATTTGGGGTTGATGTTCTCCCTCAGCCATAGTATCATTCCTACACTTGGTCTTAGCCAAAAGGCCACCAAGAGATCTGGTATTATTTCCAAGTCATTATCTCTTCGCTCTAAGTAAAACTCCATTTATTTGAGCCTCCTGCCATTCAGTTGACATCTATGCCATCCCTACTTACTGATATCTTATACTCAGAACTGGATCTTTTCTTACTGCCCTGAAAACAATCATAGCTGACTCCTGAATTCTGCCATCCATCCCATGGGGTCATTGCTGGGGAGCTTTCTAAACAGGGACTACATTTCCCAGACCCATCTGCATCTCAGAGCAGACCTCAAGTGATTGCCTCCCTCAGCCTGCCAAAGTGCTGTAACTTTTTTTCTGGAAGTGATCAGCTCCAAGATAGGAATTGAGCAACTCTGATACAGGCATGGAGAAAACAGAAGATGGGGCTTGCTATCTTTCTTTTAGCAGAAAGATAAAGCACAGGAGGGGCCATATGACTGGGTCTCATGGCTGGAATGTGAGCAGAAGTCATATGTGTCGCTTCCAGATGAAATGCTTAAGAAGGACTCACGGGAACCTTCCCACTTTCCATCGTACCTCTCATCAGTGTATTATGGCAACAAGTAAGGCTGGAGCTGACGAGAGCTGGAGTGCGAGGAGCCACTAGACATCAAAAGCTTTGGTTCCTAATTTACCGCTTTGAGGAGAGGCACCATCAGAACCATCTAACCAGGGGCATCTGCATTGGACTATATGTGATCAAGAATTAAACTTGGATTCTGTAAATCCCCTGAGAGTTGGGATTTATTATTGCAGCACATAGAGACTATCTTGACCAATATAGCTGCCCTCATTAAAACTGCATTTAAGGACTTGGGGTGGTGGCTTACACCTATAATCTCAGCACTTTGGGAGGCTGAAGTGGGAGGATCGCTTGAGCCTAGGAGTTCTAGACCAGCCTGGGCAACACAGTGGAACCTCATCTCCACACACACACGTTTTAATTAGCCAGGCATGGTGATACACACCTGTAGTCCCAGCTACTCAGGAGGCTGAGGCTGCAATGAGCTGTGATCATGTCACTCCATCCTGGGTGACAGGGCGAGATCCTGTCTCAAAAAAAAAAAAAATTGTATTTCAGTTCAAGCAGTTCATCCTCTGACCTCAACCCCCAATTCTGTAGCTCTCTCACGGTTATTCACACTACTCCAGCTTCCTACTTTCTCGCATACAACCTGGACGTCTGCGGTACTGAACCTTCTGCTTTCTCCTTCTCACTCACTCTCGTATTTCCTCCCTTTGCTTCCTATCCAGCTTGAGCAATTCTCCACCACCATCTTGCCAATATCTATTTCTCTAGTTCTATCTGTATTTCATTTTCCCCAGTATTTGTTTCTGCTTGCTGTTAGGGCAACTTTAAACACCCATCTTTCTGCTTTATCCATGCCTGTATCTGTTGCTCAATTCCTATCCTGGAGCTGATCACTTCCAGAAAAAAAATTACAGCACTTTGGGAGGCCAAGGCAGGCAATCACTTGAGGTGACTCCGAGACCAGCCTGGTCAACATGGTGAAACCCCGTCTCTACTAAAAATACAAAACTTAGCTGGGTGTGGTAGCACACCGCTGAAGTCTCAGCTACTCGGGAGGCTGAGGCAGAAGAATCGCTTGAACCCAGGAGGTGGAGGTTGCAGTGAGCCGAGATCATGCCACTGCACTCCAGCCTGGGCGACAGAGCAAGACTCCATCTCTGAACAAATAAATAAATAAATAAATAAATCTTGGAAAATTATCAATAGATAGAAACGTCTTTCACCTAATGAAATATAGATACAAAAAATTATAGCAAATATTATATTTAATGGTAAATATTTGAATACTTTCACTTTGAAATCAGGAACAAAACAAGGGTGGCTGTTATCACCACTTCTTTCTTTTTTTTTTTTTTTTTTGAGATGGAGTCTCGCCTATTGCCCAGGCTGGAGTGCAGTGGCATGATCTCAGCTCACTGCAACCTCTGCATCCCAGGTTCATGTGATTCTCCTGCCTCAGCCTCCCAAGTAGCTGGGATTACAGGTGCATGCCACCACACCCAGATAATTTTTCTATTTTTAGTAGAGACTGTTTTCACTGTGTTGGTCAGGCTGGTCTCAAACTCCTGAACTCAGGTGTTATCACCACTTCTAGGCAACGTGATTCCTGAAGATCTGCGTAATAAAGAAAAAAATAATAAAAACAGGTATAAGGATGGGAAAGAAAAACATGAAACTGTCCTATTGACAGATGACACAACTATTCACATGAAACAATTCAAATTACTAAGTGAGTTTAAGAAATTTTCTCAGCCAGGCATGGTGGCTCATGCCTGTAATCCCAACACTTTGGGAGGCTGAGGCAGGAAGATGGCTTGAGGCCAGGAGTTCAAGGCTAGCCTTGGCAACATGGCAAGTCTCCATCTCTATAAAAAATAAAAATGAGTCAAGCATACTGGCGCATGTCTGTAGTCCTGGGTACTCAAGAGGCTGAGGCAGGAGGATCACTTGAGCCCAGGAGCTCGAGGCTGCAGTGAGCTGTGATCATCACAGCGTTGCAGCCTGTGCAACAGAGTGAGACTGTCTCAAAACCAATTCTCTAGACACAAGATCAACATACAAAAACCAATTGTCAATCTTTCCTCTGCATATCGGCAAACATTTAAATAACAAAAGTTTTAAAAATACAAAATGTTCAATAGCATAAAACATTAAATATTTAGAAATAAGTTGATATGAAAACTTCTACCTACCCACATATATATGCAATATTTCCACAGAGTGGTTGTTTACATACAGCACAGACATGGGACTCAATGATTAAACTTAACGAGCACCTCCCGTTAGAAGAAGTCTGGGGACCTGAGGTAAGAGAAACATTACCTTGCAAATTGTTGGTTTTGAATAACTAATCTGGCACTTTGCTATTAACAAAAACTTGATAGAAATACTTAGGATTTCAATTTGTTTTGGTAAATCAAATCCTATTTTTATATTGAATTGTATCATAGCAGTTTTTAAATGCTTCATCTTAATTTCTGTTTGATCTTTTGTTGATTCTATTTTAATTTTCACTGCTGTAAATATGTGTTTTGAGATAACTAAATGTCTGTTAAACATGTAAAAACATCAAGAGTGAGTGTTTGTAAAGACTACCTAGCTCCCTGACTTCTTCCGGTTTTTACTGAAACATCAGGTCATCAATGAGGATTTCCCTGGCACCATATGGAAAAATTTAACCATCACGTTCATGAAAGCCCATCCCTCCCCTCCCTATTTTCTTTCTTTTCTTTTCCTCTTTTTTTTTTTTTTTTTGACCGAGTGCAGCGGCACAATCTCAGCTCACTGCAACCTCCACCTCCCAGGTTCAAGCAATTCTCCTGCCTCAGCCTCCCAAGTAGCTGGGACTACAGGGATGTGCCACCGCCTCCAGCTAATTTTTGTGTTTTTAGTAGAGATGGGGTTTCACCATGTTGGCCAGGCTGGTTTCAAACTCCTGACCTCAAGTGATTCACCCGCCTCAGCCTCCCAAAGTGCTGGGATTACAGACATGAGCCACCTCGCCCAGCCTCCCTCCTCTACATTATTTAATATCATTAGCATTTATAACTATATGACACATTACATGGCCTACTTTTAAAATCTTGTTTATTATCTAGCTCCCTTACTAGAAGGTAAGCTCCATGAGGAAAGGAAATTTTGTTTTGTTCTCTGCATCTAATCTATTGTAGGTGCTCAATAAATATTTGTGGACCAAATTAATTAATTAAACATGATATACCTATTATAAAGAGTACTTTTCTAGTATTTAAAAATCATAAGGGGACCAGGCATGGTGGTTCATGTCTGTAATCCCAGCACTTTGGGAAGCCAAAGCGGATGGGTTGCTTGAGCCCAAGAGTTCAAGACCAGCCTGGGCAACATGATAAGACACCCATCTCTACAAAAATTACAAAACAAAAAAATTAGCTGGGCAAGGTAGTGCATGCCTAGAGTCCTAGCTACTCGGGAGGCTGAGGTGAGAGGAGCACTTGAGCCCAGGTGGTTGAAGTTGCAGTGAGTCATGATCGCAGCTTTGCATTCCAGCAGGGGTGACACAGTGAGACCTTGTCTCAAAAAAAAAAAAAATTAAAACATTAAAATCACAAGTTGCACCTCAATGCTACTGATACTGCTGATGTGGGGACTACATTTAAGAACAATTGAAATAGTAGCATACAGTCTAGAAAGACTCTGGAGTGCCCATGCCAGGCCCTAAATGTTCAATTCTACTGCATGAGAAACATAAAGCTCACCACTGAGAGGGTGAATTCAGTCTGAAGCCTGAATATAATAGAAAGCAGGTACCCACAAAGACTAGGTGTGCCTTCATGAATAAGGCTACACTTACTGAAGGGTGTCATTATTACACTGTGTCTTAACATGGCACTCAGGGCAGCTTTATTCCTGAAACATACATCTGAAATGAAATAGAAAGCCTTCCAGTTCTTGGAGCTACACTGATTGCTACATAGTCTTTCTGATTCTACAAGAATGAATGACACCTACATTTTTTAATAATCAGGGAAGTAGCTCTGGGAACTGTAAATTCTTAGGGAAAAGAGCTGAACAGCTCATAAGCTAAAGTGGCATCTTCACAGGTTCTCCTGTTAAGGTTGGAGATTGAGAAGGAAAGGGAGAATACGGATGCTGAGCGGTTGTCTACATCCATATGATAGAGAATTGGATTTGAGTTTCTTGATGTGGCTGAAAATACTAGACTGAGAAGTCCTTGGCTAAAAATTGAGTATCATGCATGAGGCTAGGGGAGTTGTTGTTTTTTTGTTTTGTTTCTTTTTGTTTTGTGATGGAGTTTCATTGTTGCCCAGGCTGGAGTCCAGTGGGGCGATCCCGGCTCACTGCAACCTCCGCCTCCGGGGTTCAAGCGATTCTCCTGCCTCAGCATCCCAAGTAGCTGGGACTATAGGCACCCGCTGCCTCACCCAGCTAATTTTGTATTATTTAGTAGAGACGGGGTTTCACCATGTTGGTCAGGCTGGTCTCCAACTCCTGACCTCAGGTGATCCACCTACTTTGGCCTCCCAAAGTTCTGGGATTTACAGGTATGAGCCACCATGCCTGGCCAGGAGATTTGTTTCCTAAGAGACTGGGTGATTTGATCAAGTGGACTTTCACATGAAAAAAGAAGGAGGAAAAGACAGTAATGGCAGGGAGGGGAATTTAATAATATAATAGGAAATGTCAGCAGTGAGTGATACCTTTCTGGCGGTGACACAGAAAAAAAGAGCAAGACTCAATAGATACGATCATTCATATTAAGAAATAACTAAATAGGAAACCATATAAACAGTCCTGCCTGTCTGTATCCAAAGATGTATAATGATACAAGGCTATTACGTGCTTACTAGCAATGCTTTGTTGTAATGATATACACAGAGTTTCCGAACATTTAGACTATACCACATACTTTCCCAATTAAACTCATGTTAAAATTCCATCTCCAATGCGGCAGCATTGAGGGGGGAGCCTTTCAACGGTGATTGGATCATGAAGGCAGAGCCCCGAAAAGTGGATTAATCCATTCACAGATTAATGGATTCATGGGATAATGGATTCATGGGTTTCATGGGAGTGGGACTGGCAGCTCTATAAGAACAGGAGGAGAGACCCGAGCTGTCATGCTCTGCCCCCTTGCCCTGCGATGTCCTGTGACACTTTGGGACTCTGCAGAGTCCCTACCAGCAAGATGGCCCTCACCAGATGCCACCCTTCCACCTTGGACTTCGCAGCCTCCTGGGAAAGGAATGAATTCATTTTCCTCATGAATGACTCCCGTTTCAGGTATTCTTTTATAAGCAACAGAAAACAAACTAACACACAGTGAAAGCCTCCTCGGCTCGGCACACGTTGTCCATCCACGCTGGGTTCCTAGAGCTTTCGCAGCTGGCACCCCCCTGCACATGAGTCAAGCTGTTGAGCCCCTCCCCTGCTTTCTTGGAGTTTCCTTCCCTGAAAGACTGCCACCAGACAGGGCAAGCATGGCAACACGGGCACACAAAACATTTAGAGTCTTTACAGTGATGCTAACTAAAGCCAGAGGAAATATGACAAGCCTGTCTTCTGTGAAAATTCCTCGACAATACAGGTCAGTACAATGCTATGCACAGCAAAATTCTGTTGGTCTTGTGATCTCACCCTTTGCTTTTTATACAAATATCTTCTACACTTTTCCCAGAAGTCTGTCAAAGCAGGGCTGGAACATACATGTTCCCTGTCCCTGACTACTATGTACTTCCTCGGTCTTTCACATCGCGGTACCACTGACGTGAGGAAGGAACCCATAGCCAACGCAGCCAGGCAGGGTGTACCCACAGCTGAGCAGCAAGTGGGCCTTCTGCTCCGTTCAGTCAGACCGTGTTTTTGGCTCAGCCATTGCTTGTGGTTACCAGAATATAAATGGTAAGCCACCTTCTCCTCCTAAACTTTCTTATTTTGAAAATCATTTTTTATTTTCATTTTTACTGTGTAATATATGCATGTAAAACTCCTCCTCATCTTGATGGCCTACACATGTTACTCCTGACTCAGTTATGTAACATGTTACATGTTTATCTGCAACGCATGTTAGCCTAAAATTTTATTACTCAAACGATTCTCGCTCAACCTGGCTGGGGCGCGGCCACTCTGCTGAACGACCTGTAAACACCGCTCTCACTGTTGCCTCCTCACTATTCATTCACATTCCTAGGAGAGAACTCGAGTTGGTGGAGCTGCCCTACCACCACCCCAGCTATGTCCTGGGGTAGGAGGCCAAAGAATCTGTGCCTGTCAGCTTTTGGAATAAAAGGTGGGGACTTGGAATTACCCTCACTCTCATGATTTCCAAGAGGAATCAGAGTTCTATTAAAAATGATAATGGATTCAGGACAGACCAAAAAAAAAGACAAATATCCACAAACATTGCTCTCAGGAAGAGGTGATACTGGAATCCTTTAATTACAGTTATACTGTTAAATTAGCTACAGACATTTCATCTCCTAGAATAAATGAAGAGTACAGTCATGCATCACTTAACAATGGGAATATGTTCTGAGAGATGCTTTGTTAGGCTATTTTGTCATTATGCAAACATCATAGAGTGTACTTCCACAAAGGTAGATGGTATTGCCTACTATATAACTAGGCTATAGGATATAGCCTATTGCTCCTGGGCTGCAAATATGTACAGCATGTTACTATACTAAATAATGTAAAGAAATGGTAAGTATTAGTGCAACAGGAATTTTTCAGCTCTGTTGTAATCTTATGGGACCACTATTGTATATGTGTTTTATCAGGGACCAAAACATTGCTATGCAGCACATGACTGTAACTGATTATTGGAATGGAAGTAATAGTACGTGGGATATGTCTGTATCCTCACATTTCATGATATCCAGGAAAGTAACAGCAGGCACAATCAGAATTATACCACACATCTGAATAAAACAGCTTGCAAAAATTTCAGGCTAGGTGTCATGGCTCATACCTACAATCCCAGCACTTTCGGAGGCTGAGGTGGGAGATTGCTTAAGTCCAGGAGTTTGAAATAAATCTGCGCAACATAGTGAGACCCCATCTCAAAAAAAAAAAAAAAAAAAAAAAAAGCCCAGGTACGGTGGCTCACCTATAATCCCAGCTCTTTGGGAGGCCAAAGCAGGCAGATCATGAGGTCAAAAGATCGAGACCATCCTGGCCAACATGATGAAATCCCATCTCTACTAACAATACAAAAATTAGCTGGGTATGGTGGTGCACACCTGTAGTCCCAGCTACTTGTGAGGCTGAGGCAGGAGAATCGCTTGATCCCAAAATGTGGAAGCTGCAGTGAGCTGGGATGGCACCACCGTACTCCAGCCTGGCGATAGAGCGACTCTGCCTGGAAACAAGAGTGAAACTGAGCCAGGCATGGAGGCACATTCCTCTAGTCCCAGCCTCGTTGGAGGCTGAGGCAGGAAGATGGCTGGAGCCTAAGAGGCAGAAGCTTCAGTGAGGTATGATCATGCCACTGAACTCCAGCCTGGGTGACAGAGTGGGACCCCCTCCCCAAAAACAAAACAAAAAACACATCAATTCAACAAATATATCTTGACTACTGTGTGTCAGACTGAAGATACAGGCTCAGTAATAAGCTTAAGCAATAAGCTTCCCTCTAGAACTTGTAATTATCACCATCTAGTCATGATAACATTTTTGTCCATGGAGTTGCCATGAGGAAGTCTCTTTGAGACTATGCAAGAGCTGATTGATCGCAAAGCTCTATTGACTGGGAAGTTGTTCATGAAAAAGAAATACTTCAAGATACGTAGAAAAAAGAAAAATATTAGTGCATTTTGTGCTGCTATAACGGAATTCCAGAGACTGGGTAATCTATAATCAACAGAAATGTATTGGTTCATAATCCTGAATGGTGGGAAGTCCCAAGATCAAGGGGCTGGCACCTGGTGAGGGCCTTCCTGCTGCATCATCAGATGGCAGAAGGCAAAAAGGGAGAGAGGGTGAGGGCGAGTGAGAGGGCAAGCAAGAGGGACTGAACTCATCCTTTTATAAGGAACCCACTGCGTGATAACGGCATTAACTCATTCATGAGGGTAGTGCCCCTGTGATCCAGACACCTAATGGGACCCATTAGACCTCACTTCCCATCTCAACTTTGGGGACCAAGTTTCCAGCACATGTACTTTGAGGGATGCATTCAAACCATAGCAACCTTGAAGGATGTTGATAGACAAAAGCTCAGATACATCCAAAGTAATTGCCTTACAAGGTTTCTTGTTTCCTTCAGATGAGAAGCTTTCAGAGATCAGGAATGGTGGAGGAAGAGTCCTTTAAGTAGGGTGTGAAAACATACAGGATCTAAAAGAACCCAAAAGCAATGCCATGTAATAATAGGATCAGATATCTGCAAGTTGTAACAATTTTCTTTCATTTTATTTGTTTTAACAAAGTAACTTTTTAAAATACAGGCTTGTTTCGTCTGTGTTTTCAAAAAGGCAAGCAAGAGATGTTTTGTGTCTTGAGACCCATAGGAAGACACAGTAATAGTAATGGGGATAAATGAAGATCCGAGGGGAAGATTAAAAACCCAAGCGTATACCATCTTGACTGTTGTTTCTGTACCTTATGATCAAAATTGTTTCTATCCCCAGTTAAGCATCTTTGGAGGATTTTGTATTTTGTTGATTTAGGAAAACAATATGCTTACCTATTCTCAACACTCTAATTTAATTGTTTATAAATACAACATTTGCTTTCCCTAAGCTTCATTTTTTATTAAATTTTAACCCAGTAGAGCTCTTAAAATGCTACAGAGCACTGCAAGGGTAAAACAGAAGGGAAAAGCCATTGCATCTCTAAATAATTTTTCAAGATAAATGAGACGATAATTTTGCTTATCAAAGTCATAAAATGACCTTAAGATTTGTGTCTTTGTTTCTTGTTCAGAACTATAAACACTGTTTTTCCTATGGCATTGGAAAACCAGGAGACTTAAATCAACCATACGAGATTATCAACAGTTCTAATAGGAACCACATATTTTGGCCCATGGGCCATTCTGGAATGTATGTATTTCGTGTGAAGATCCTGGATCCAAACTATAGGTGAATATACGTGTTATTATAACAGTTTTAGCATTGTTTCTTTGAAATGAAATTTTTATTTATTTGATGCCTACTATGCATTCAGTCATTGTTATTCTTGTTATTTACATATTTGCTTTTTCATTTTATAGCAATCACATGAAACATTCTATGTGGGTAGAATATTTTATGCTAAGTGTTAATTAAATTAATCAGTTTACGATTACATTCTGAGGACTTTCCTGTGTTCAGCTGCCGTGAAAGATCCAAATATAAGCACAGTCTCGTCCTTCAAGGTATTTACAATTAAGCTGCCTGGAGAAGGAGGACTAGGGGGAGGGATACACATAAAAGCCAAGAAAAGTTAAATCCGAGCAAGATACAGGAGATATTTTTATAATTATTTGCATTATTGACAGGCACAATGGTAATTCAGACATGGGAACAATTCATACTATTTTGAGCAGTAAAAGAAAACTTTCTGGAGAACCCAGAACAACAGGAGAATTTACATTGCCAGAAGACTGGAACAGACGCTTTCAGTGAGAGAAATCACACTAATAACGGAATGGAGCTAAACATTAGCAAAACGTTAGCATATTGTTGATGGCTCGCGGCGGCGCAAAGGAAGGCAGACAGTGCCCTGAATGAGGAAGTTAGAAAACAAAGGAGGGAGACGCACTTAAGGCAGCTCCGAATGTTTAAGAAAGTTTCAGCCCAAGTCCTCGAGACTTTGGTTAGTGTCTTCACTAGGGAGGTGGTGTGATGGAAGCACAGTTCTAGGGAAATCAGCCTGAGAATAGCACAAAGAATGGCACAGAAGAAAAATAAACTCTGCATGGATGATGGAGAAGGGTGGCGTTAACAAGGAAGAAGGTCAAAGGAAGGCCGAGCGGCCGTAAGAATGGAAAGAAGAGAAAAGAGTCTAATGACAGGAGATTACATCGATCTCATGAGGCAAATACAGAAGGAATCGAGAGAGTTTCATGTTTTCTAGACCAGGTGATTAAAATAATGGTATTTTCTTTGACCACAATAGGTCATGGGGTGGTTTTTCTTTGGGTGAGGTATTGAGATAAGAGTTCTGACTTTGCATTTGAGGGGACAATGAGATATCTAAGTGAAGATATTCTATATACCAGGCGTCCCCAAACTACAGCCCACGGGCCGCACGCGGCCCCCTGAGGCCATTTATCCGGCCCCCCGCCGCACTTCAGGAAGGGGCACCTCTTTCATTGGTGGTCAGTGAGAGGAGCACAGCATGTGGCGGCCCTCCAACGGTCTGAGGGACAGTGAACTGGCCCCCTGTGTAAAACGTTTGGGGACGCCTGCTTTAATATATATTTCTCAGAATTTGGTAGATCAAGTAGTCATAAAATAGATAAGCAAGTGGGGAATGTGAATAAAATTATTAATTAACTTGACCTAAGTCAAGAGATACATAAAATGGAGTCTCAGCTTATCTAGGAATTAAGACCCAAAGTCAGCACATACAAAATTACTTTTGATTTCCCATAAAAGGTGTCATGCTGGAAACTGAAATAGCATCTCTCGGTGAGTCCAATAGAGCCAGTAGTTCCTGCAGCATTTGAACAGATCACCGTTTCTTTTGTTTTGGCCCACTTGAAATACTCGATCCCCATGTTAAACCATGTGGTAGTAAAAATGGGTGCTGTTTCCCTGTTAATGCTACAATCATATTTATTGCGTAAGATGTTCACATGTGAAAGGCTCAGCAGAACTAAGACCAGCTATGGAAAGGGAAGATTCAAACTTCCCATCTCTCATTCACTTTGGAATAGAAGCACATTGAGTGGGTAGTGGGGAGAATCTGCCGCATCTCACAGTACCTGCAGAGCACACACACTCTCTTCCAGTGTCTAGAGAAACACTGTAAGTGGCAATAATCTTGTGGTGAACCAAATATAAAATTTTAACAAGTGAAAGAACATAATTTTATAGGCTACAATTCAGGCTAGAAACTAAAAAATATAAATAGCCCTCAGTTTCTTACAATATGACAGATTGAGTGTTCAAGGAAAACCTTTCCTGTACAGTACATTTAACATGCATACACCTTTTAAAGGCACAACCACGCTGGTGGGAAACTAAGGGAATTATTTGTAGGCCAGACATTCCAAAAAAGTGCAAGTTCATTAGATCCTATTGGAGTTATCTAAAGAGACTCTACCCTCCCTGGGGTTATCTGCGTATCCCTGGTGACCTGAATCACAAGGCAGCATGTAGGGGAGAGGGGAGAAGTGCGGGGCCCTAGCAGAGACAGAGATTGGATCAGAAAACCTGAGGCTTTGAAGGGCAAAATCCTTAGGGAAGACGGCAAGGATGCATGCCTGAATCAAGCCTCTAACAAGAAAGCCTATGCTTTGAAGTTCTGAAGCCAGGTACTGATTTCTCTTCTCTAGCTATGGAAGTTCTAGATGAGGCTGGGTGTGGTAGCTCATGCCTGTAATCACAGCACTTTGGGAGGCCAAGGTGGGTGGTCACCTGAGGTTAGGAGCTCGAGACCAGCCTGACCAACATAGCAAAACCCCATCTCCACCAAAAATACAAAATTAGCCAGGTGTGGTGGCAGGCACCTGTAATTCCAGCCACTTGGGAGGCTGAGGCACAAGAATCGCTTGAACCCAGGAGGTGAAGGGTGCGGTGAGCCAAGGTCTCACCATTGCACTCCAGCCTGGGCAACAAGAGCAAAATTCTGTCTAAAAAAAATAGAAAGAAAGTCCTAGATGGCATTGTCTTCCAATAGAAGGCTGCTTCACCCACGCTGAAAGTCTGTTGAGTAGCGTAGCCGCCTTCATCTGTCATCTCAGCCGGATCTTCCGGGTCACTTCTGCAGCATCTCCGTCAGCACGTGCTGCTTCGCCTTGCGCCTTCATGTTATGGCTTCTTTCCTTAAGCGTCATAAACCAACATCTCCTTGCTTCAGACTTTTCTTCTGCAGCTTCTTCCCCTCTCTCAGCCTTCCTGGAACTGAAGAGAGCTAGCGCCTTGCTCTAAATCAGGCTTTGGTTTAAGGGATGTTGTAGCTGGTTTGATAATCTGTCCAGACCATTCAAACTTTCTCTGTATCAGTAATATGGCTGCTTTACTTTCTTATCATTCGTGTGTTCACTAGAGTAGCACTTTTCATTTTCCTTCAAACACTTGGCATTCACAATGTGGCTAACTGTTGGTGCAAGAGGCCTTGCGTTCAGCCTGTCTCAGCTTTCAATGTGCCTTCCTCCCTCTGTTTAATCATTTCTAGCTTTTGATTTCAAGTGAGAGACATGTGCCTGTTCCTTTTACTTGAACACATAGAGGCTATTTTAAGGTTATTGACTGGCCTAATTTCAATATTGCTGTGTCTGAGGGAGTAGAGAGGCTGAGAGGAGAGATGAGGATCGGGGTCAGTGAGCAGGCAGAGCATACATAGCATTGATTAAGTCCGCTGTCTTATATGGGCGCAGTTCATGAGCTCCCGGACACCCTCATAGTAACATCAGAGATCACTGACCACAGATCGTCTAACAGATATAGTAATGATGAAAAAGGCTGGCATGCTGGGAGGCCAGAGTGAGAGGATAGCTTGAGACCAGGCGTTCAAGACCCGCCTGGCAACATGAGATCCCATCACTACAACAATTATTTTTAAAAAATACTATCAGGCATGATGGCATGCGTCTGTAGTCCTAGCTACTCAGAAGGCTGAGGGGGAGGATCACTTGAACCCAGAAGGTCAAGGCTGCAGTGACCTGTGACTGTGCCACTATACTCCAGCCTGGATGACAGAACAAGACCCTGTTTAAAAATAATAATAATAATAATAATAATAATAATAATTGAGGCCGGGCACAGTGGCTCACACCTGTAATCCCAGCACTTTGGGAGGCTGAGGCAGGTGAATCATGAGGTCAGCGGATGGAGACCATCCTGGCTAATAGGGTGAAACCTTGTCTCTACTAAAAATACAAAAAATTAGCTAGGCATGGTGACTCGTGCCTGTAGTCCCAGCTACTTAGGAGGCTGGGGCAGGAGACCCACTTGAACCCAGGATGTGCTGAATACAGTGAGCCAAGATCATGCCACTGCACTCCAGCCTGGGCAACTGAGTGAGACTCCATCTGAAAAATAAAATAAAAAATCATCGAAATGTGAGGATTACCAAAATGTGACACAGAGACATCAAGTAAGCACATGATGTTTATAAAAATTGAAGCTCTGTGGTAATCCTGTATCAAGCAAGTCTGTTGGTGCCATTCATAGCATCTGCAAAGCACAATAAAGTGAAGCCCAATAAAACAAGGTATACCTGCATGCATGCTATTTCTCCTTATCCACAGATTTGCTTTCTAATAATTTCAGTTACTTGCCATCAACAGTGGTCCAAAAATATGAAACGGAAAATTCCAGAAGTAAACCATTCAGAGATTTTAAATTGTATGCCATTCTGAGCAACATGATGGAATTTAGCACTGTTCCACCTCGTCCAGCCTGGGATGTGAATGATCTCTTCGTCTAGTGTATCAGCGCTATGTGCACAAGCTGCCTCATAGTGACTTAACAGCCATCCGGGTTATCAGACCGGTTGCAGCGTTAAAGCAATACTGTTGTGTTCAGGTAACCCTTACAAGGCAGTGCTCGACTTACGACCACGGCCAGGTCCGCGAAACGGTCGTAACACGATTTGGTCGTAAGTTGAGTAGGCTCTATGTACAGTTGAAATGGTGCACGCGGAGATGGTAGTGCTGCCAGAAGCTGGTCCGCACTGTTGTACGCCCAGCTGGGCAACGTTTGCGCTGCCAGACGCGGAGCCGCTGTGGCTAGCGATTGTGGTCGTCAAGTCGAATGGCCATAAGTTGCATAGGTGGTAAGTCGATCAATACCTGTACTTTCCTTTGTAATGGCCACAAAGTGCAAAAGTAGTGA